TTTTTAAATTTATTTATTTTTTAAATTTTTGTGTGAGTGAGTGTACCGTCAAATCAGATCTGACTGGTACAGGAGGAGATTGTCCCTCCTTTTTCCAGCAGAGCATCTGGTGGATTCGAACCGTGTGCCTCTGGGATTGTAGTTGCAGCTCCTTGCCACTAGGCCACCAGAGCTCCCCTAGAGTTCCTTGTTTTTCAGTGCAGTGTAGTATTCCATTGTGTGAATATACCAGAGCTTTTTTATCCATTTGTGTTGATGGGCACTTAGGTTGTTTCCAACAACTTGCTATTGTGAAGAGAGCTGCAATAAACATGGGTGTGCATATATCTGCTTGGATGTCAGTCATGGTCTCTCTGGGGTATATTCCAGGTAGTGGAATTGCTGGGTCAAATGGTATCTCTATTTGCAACTTTTTGAGAAAGCGCCATACCGCCTTCCACAGTGGTTGCACCATTTTACACTCCCACCAGCAGTAAGACATAACCCTATTCTATGCCATCTTCAAATCTCCTCCATGCTGGCACTTTATCAGTCATCTTTCTCTAAACCTCCATTTTTTTCCCAAGAACTGGCCACTCTTGACAACATGGCCAAGGTATGAGAAGTTTCACCATCCTTGCCTCAAAAGGAGCAATCTGGTCCGTCTGGCAGTTGGAAAAACAGACTTGGGTGACAGAAATGAGGCTGGCGATTAAAAATGATAGTCAGCAGTTGAAAAGGAAGGAAGTGAACCTTCATATCAAGAAGTCTTTTCTCAGCTGAAATGATCTTTTCGCAGCAAGAGGCTGCCTAGGCGTAGGTGTGTAGGCCAGCTGGCTAGCCTGGGGTCTCTCTCTGGCAACAGTTCCAGGGCAGAGGTCTACTGGTCTTCACCTGTGGTTCTGACAAGTCAGTCATTCAGTGTGTTAGCAGTTCCTGAGTGTCCCCTAGCACCAGGCTGGGACTTCAGTGGTGGGTATGGAAGTCTGACCTCATGACATTTTTTGGGGAAGATGTTGGGCACATTGGCTAATAAAGTTTTTAAAGCAGGTAATGGTCAGTGTGTGCATGCTTTGGAAAGTTGCTATGGGCTCAGTGCTCTCATGATGAGCCATGTGTGTCGGAGTAAAACTCCCTAGGGTTTTCACGGCTAAATTTTCAGAATGTAGATAGGCAGCATTTTCTTTTGGGGAATCTTAGTATACCAAACTGCCAAACCTTCAGTTAGCAGCTGAGGGTGTTTACAATTTGCAGCACTCAGGGACTCCACGATTGCTTTAGAAACTGTGTCTATATTAGGTTTGCAAATATGTCACGTTGTTGTGTACCGCAGAGTTGGCATTGACCCATAACTGACCCTCCAGCAGGGTTTCAGAAAGAGGTTGTTGTAAAACAGGTTTGGAAGCAGGAGTGGCATCCACTTCCTAAACAACAGCCTATGGAAACTGTATGAACTCGGAGAAATGACGATAGTTATAGAAATGCGTTAGGTCTTGTTCATAGTCATTAAGAGTCGTGCTTGACTTGAAGGCAATCAACAACGGTCAGTGAGGGACAGGCGTTAGGAGTGCCTTTGGGGGAAGGTAGAAAGAAACTTGTGATTTCCTCTAGGGAATCAGGGAAGGCTTTCTGAAGGAAACTTTGATCACAAACCCGAAGCCGCTGAGGAAATCTTCCAGGAAGAAGCAGGACAAGTCAGATCAAGAGGCTAGAGAGATTGTGGCTTGGGAGGGAAGAGGAGACAAGAGGGTGGGCCTCTAGTTTGATGGCAAAGACTACCATGCTGTTCTTTACGGTTTACATGATCGTGTCAGCTGCCACGTTGGGAGTGAACTCTAGGGGCAGGAAGTGAGGGAGTTGCAGAAATGCTGGCTTGGACTACGAGGATAGTGGTGGACCAGCTACCTAAGGAGCCATGCTTTGATTTTTTGAAAAAATTTATTATTTTTTGTGTGTGTACCATCAAATCAGATCTGACTTATACAGGAGATTTTCCCTCCTCCAGCTGATGGTGGATTTGAACTGTGCACCTCTGGAATTGCAGTGCAGCCTCTTGCCACTAGGCCACGAGAGCTCCCTCATGTTTTTGATCTTTTACTAGAGGAAGTAGCTTAGCAATCATGGACTTAAAAACCATTTATTTAAGGTGAGGGTGGGTGGTGAAATATTCTGAAAATACAAATGAATATTTACAATGAAAAGCAAGCAGCAATCTCCACCCAGGCGCCTTCCCCAGAGGCAATCACAGCTAATAAATGGCAAAATATAAAGCCCAAGAATAGATTGCATACCAGTGGAGATGTTTCAGGAAACAGATGAAACCCTGGATGTGCTCACCAATCTCTGCCGACAAATATGGAAGAGAGTGAGCTTCTTGGCCAACTCACTGGAAGATTTCAAATCGCAAGTGAAGAGACTGCCCTTCTTTATCCTGTGGAGTGGATATGAACTGCCTACCTTTGGGTTGGGGGTCTGGTGGTCTAGTGGCAAGAAGCCGTGCTGCAGTCACAAAGGAAAGCGGTTGGAATCCACCAGATGCTCCATGGGAGGATGGGCAATCTCTTCCCGTGTGATGAAGTACCTCTGATAACCTGCTGGTGGTTCAGTCAGGGGTTGGTTCTGACTTGAAGGCACATGGCAATAGTAACTCAGTAACTTCAGACTTGAAGGCACATAGTAGCAGCAGTGACAACCATCTCTCTTCAAACCCCTTGTTTGGAGGGCAGAGGTCAGATGGGCACAGACTCTGACGATTCCCTTCATAATACTTATTTCCGCAGCACAAACTGGGTTATTACTGCCATCTTAAAGACCATCTACTGTGAATCATCCTGACACCTCTGACCACCTCATGGCTCCTGCCTCACCACCAATCACTCCAGGGCCTCACCACAAACACCGCGAAGGAACAAGTAAGGTGACTGTGATGGACTGAACCGTCCCTCCTCCACTCGTGTTGAAGTCTTAACCCCTGCAATTTGTGTGAACTTGTTTGGAAATAGCATCTTTGAAGATGCTAATCAGTCTAACATGAGTGGTATTCTAGTGAAAAGTGAAGAGACAGAAACACCATGTGAGGGAAGATCATGTGCTGGTCAAAGCAGAGATTACAGAGTTTTGCTGTCAAAGGATACTTTAGCCATTGTGCCAAAAGAAAGGAAAAAAGAAAATCCTCAAAAACCTGGTAAATCTTCAGTTGCTGTTAAGTGCCACTGGGTCAAATATGACTCAGCAACACCGTGACAAAAAGAGATGAACACTGTTCTATAACTATCTTTGTTTCACTAATGTTCATTGAGTTTCCAAAGGCCTATTGTTTAAGAAGTGGATGCCAATCCTGCTTCTATGCCTGTCTTAAATCTGGGAGCTCTACCAAATGCTGTTCACCATGGGTAACCATTGTGACATTTGACACACCAGTGGCTCAGTGTTCAGTATCACAGCAACCACGAGTTACCTCAGTACAGCACACTGACAGACAAGTGCTGACCGCTTAGAACACTGTTCTTCTCAAATACAATTAACAGTAGGCCCAGGGCCCAACCTACTTTTAAATACAAAGGCCCACCCATCAGGTCCTGGCTTCCAGCTCACAGCTGATTGTTAACTAAACCAGGCAACCAATCCCATAATCTTCAGCAGTAATAAGAATCTACAACTTTATGTCTGCATTAGATCACATTTCTTTCAGAAAACAGGTTAAGGGCCACAGCAGGAAATAAATTCCTAGACAGATAACTTCAGTCTAATGGAAAAACTTTTTTATTATTGTTTAGATGTAGAATGTATAATCATGGGAGAAGGCTGGGCAATATTCTCCTGCGCAATTAACTGCTTCTGAAAACCTGCCAGGGGGTCAGGTATGGGTCAGTTCCGACTCCGGTACACAACATGACCGTCACCACACATAGTATATGTAATGAGAAATACATGTGAACTATAATTTAGTGCTGTCAAAAAAATTAAAGGCCTGGTGGCCTAGTGGCACGAAACTGTACTGCAACCCCAGAGGTGCACAGTTCAAATCCACCAGATGCTCTGCTGGAGAAGGAGGGGCAATCTCCTCCCGTACCAGTCAGATCTGATTTGACAGTACACAGAAAAATAATTAAAAAAAAAGAAATTAAAAGCCTTGGATGGAAAAACTTGGGAATGAACAACAAAACGGACAGTAATAACTGAAAAAAAAAATACGAAAACTGTCTAAATATCAGTGTTTTCTTATATACATGTAAATCACAGTAAATTAAAAAAAAAAAAAAGGACTGGAAAAAAACAGTTGTTGCAACTCCAAGACTGTGAGACTAAGACAAGCACGGCAGCTGCTTCGTGTTCCTGCTCCAGCTTGTGAAGGTTTCACTGTACACTTGTCAGTTTACTGTTCTCAGTCATCACGGAGGTAATCTGACAGGTGGACACAAAGAGAAATTTTTCAATCTTTGGTAAGAAGTTAAGTGGAAGAAGCTGCCCTGCCTGTCCTGCTGGTGGACGTGGCATCTGCCCTGCCCTAAATCCCCTGAGTCTGATAAATATTCCTCCTACAAATCACTGCTTCAATGGTGACTTTAAAAAAACTGTTAAAAGAATTACTCAAGGGGAGCTCTGGTGGCCTAGTGGCAAGGAGCTGCAACTACAATCCCAGAGGCGCATGGTTTGAATCCACCAGATGCTCTGCCGGGGAAGGAGAGGCAGTCTCCTCCTGTACCAGTCAGATCTGATTTGATGGTACACTCACACACACACACAAAATCAATACACAAATAAGTTTACTTAAAAGCAGTTCAATGACATATATAAAAAAAAGTTTCAGAACTTCTTCCCACAAACTGGAACAGGTTTCCGTGAGGTCCGCAGCCCTACCTAGTGGGCATCAGTAACGGGCATGGTAAGTCTAGGTGATCACTGACGCACTGCCGAAGCTGAGAGCCAGTCTCAAACAAAACCCCTCTCCTGCCTGGAGGAGGAGGAAGAGGTCACATAAAAGGGCTTCATAAAACGTCTCTGAAGGAGAACTGAGATGGTCAGAAGAGCTCCAGTACTTCAATTGAATATAATCCTGTATTAGTCTTTTCTTGATTTAATTTCTGTAGCTCCCGGAAACTCACGTCAATCTTGTTGAGTTCAGAATAAACGTTTATCTAAAGAAAAAAAGGTGTCAGAGTTAATTTTACCATCACTTTTACATAAAAACAAATCTCTAGGATTACAAGAACTGTTTCAAGAACACAATTTAAGGCTAAATTTTACTTTAGGTGACACCTGGGAACAGAAACAGAACACAGTGTAAATCAGGTACAAACCTGGGCTTTCACAAAATTGTAAAGGCTTATCAGCAGCCTTTTTGCTTCTGGTAGCATTACCACAACAGTGAAATTAGCATCGAGAAGTAAGCATATCCAATCCATAATCTGAAGATAAACAGAAAAGAGAATTAAGATTTCAAAGTTAAATGTTAGGTCAATTCATTTCACAAAGTCTGTAATTATATCAAATAGTCCTAAGAACGGTATTATCTTTTTATAATGGTCTGAGCATATTAATGTTGAGAGGGAAGGAATTTCTCAATGACAGTGAAGGTTTTTTCTGCTTTTATTCTAGTTTATTAGGGCGCTCCCGTGGCTTAGTAATAAGAAGCTCCTAACCTGTAGGCAGTTGGCACAAATGTACCAGCTTAGCTTCTCTGTACAAGAAAGAAGGGCAATCTCCTCCTGTTCAAATTACAGCCTCTGACAAGCTGCTGGAAGGTCAGCTATGAGTCAGTTTTGGCTCAAGGGTGCGTAACAACAACAACCACCTGCTATGTGACAAGCATTAACTGGACTCTTCCTGGGACTGTCAGGAATAAGTCAGCATGGTATTTAACACAAGGGAAAGTCAGAACATTCTTTTAAAAAAATGTTGTTCCCCTCCAGATCCAGTTCTAATTAATATTTGCTAGAAAATGAAGTTTGACCAAATTCACAATGACACCAACATTCCTGGAGGTTGAATATCACAGGCATAATGGTGCATTACAATCACAAGAAATCCTCTCATTCTTCTCAGTTTTTTCTTTTAGCTCTGAAGGCCCAGAGCAAATTGTTCTTAACAAGTTGAATTTTTAGGTCCATTCAATCAGAGAGTTCCTTAGGTCTTTCTGAGTGCATTCATTTACAAACGGGAGTGGAAACTTGAACCAGGTCTTCAGGACGCTTTCCCATGGGATGACAAATCTTTATATGCTATCCAATTTCTTTAAGATAAAGGGAGTGACTCATAGCAGAGCCACATCAACGAGAACGTTCTATATAAAAAGATAACATCCTTGTGCATCTTCTGTTTAATTTCCTCTGGGTTCAGCTTGGGTGCTAGGCCCTCGGCGTGGAACGCCGCAGGGCCCTACTCTGCTACGAAGGGGGGCTCTTCACTCTGCTATGAAGGGGGATCTTCTGCTCTCCTCAAGTGGTAGCTTTGCACCTGGAACCTTAAAAATGGTCTTGGTAATTATCTGCTGTTGCTGTTGTCATTGAGCTGGAAGCCACTTGACTGCTTGGTGGGTCCCACAGACTATAATTACAGGGAAGAATGCGCATCTTCCTGCCTTAGAGCAGCTGGTGGATTAGAATTGCCTGCCTTTGGGCTGAAAGCGAACTCCCTATCTACTCGGCTATCACTGATCCTATCTTTTCTTTTCCAAGATACGCTATGCCCTAAGAAATGGGTGCTATGTATGTACTGTGGGCAGGCTAATGTGACGTAAAAGAAAATAATGTGCAAATTGACTTTTCAATCTATATGTGGAACAGATTATCTGGGAGGCTGGGCTCTATGAGAAAAAGTGTGGCATCAGGATTGGAGGTAGACTCCTCAACAATCTGCGTTATGCAGAGGACACAACCCTGCTTGCTGAAACTGAGGAGGAAATGAAGCGCTTGCTGCAGAGGGCCAAGGACTACACCCTTCAATATGGATTGAAGATCAACATCAAGAAAACAAAGATTTTCACCACTGGGCCAATTGGCAGCATCATGATAGATGATGAAGACACTGAGATCGTTGACAGCTTCAGTTTGCTTAGCTCTACAATCAACACCCTTGGTACCAGCAGCCAGGAAATTAAAAAACTAATTGCATTGGGAAAGTCTACTGTCAGAGACCTCTCCAAGGTAGTGAGGAGCGACTATGCTAGTCTGGAGATTAAGGTGCGCCTGATCCAGGCCATGGTCTTTGCAATTACTTGATAGGCATCAGAGAGCAGGACAATGACTAGGGATGATAAAAGAAGATTTGATGCCTTTGAGCTTTGGTGCTGGAAAAGAGTATTGAATATACTGCTAGGAGAACAAACAAGTTCGTCCTGGAGAGGGTAAAGCCCGGCTGCTCCTTGGAGGCAAGGATTCTGAAGCTCCGTCTGACATACTTTGGACATGATGCAAGGAGGGATCAGTCCTTGGAGAGGGACGTCATGCGTGGGAGGGGGAGGGACAGCACAGGTCTCAGGAGAGGAATATCCTTGATGAGATGGATTGATTCTGTCACTGGGGTAATGGGGACAGGTGTGTTGGAGACAGTAAGATTGGCAAGGGATAGAGCAGGGTTTAGGGCTGTTGTACATAGGGTTGTTATGAGTCACAGACGACTCAACGGCACATTACAACAACAACAACAACAACAACAACAACAACAATGTTCAAATATCACTCATAAAAAACTTGTTATCTAGTCTTAGGGCAATGAAAACAAAACCAAAAACTAAGTCAGTAAAACTCTTTACTCCAAAGCAACTCTGTATATATGAAAGAGTTAAACACATGAAAAAAGAAAGCATGACCGAAGTAAAGAAAACTAGGAGAACCATTTATATCACCTTGGATGCAGAGGACCTTGGCGTAACAGAAGTCAAAAGCAGTCATAAGAAAACACTTACTATGTTTTGATAGCATAAAAATCGAGAACTAGCCTAAGGCAAAAAGGACAATAAACACAGTAAAGAAACAAAATGGCTAGGAAAAAACATTGATAATGTATGAAAGGTTCATAACTATACAAAGAAGTCTTTCTAGATGATCTCACCTGGTCCAGGGTTGGAGGATGTGTTCCAGGAAGAGTCATAGCTGCATTTTCACTACATTTCTGATAAAGATAATACAAGTACTGGAGAAATAGCTAGGCAGAGGGGTGAAAAAAGGAGAATGATTATCAATCTGAGGATAAGTGTTCCATTTAACCATCTCTCAACCTGACATGCCAGCTACCCAGGGCACACGCAGAAGTACAGCGGCAGCTGCCATCTGTCAGGGCTCCTCGCTGGGAGTAGGGGTAGGAGCGTAGTCTGTCCCTAAGTAACAGGTAGACAAGAGGCAAGTCTCGCCTGGCAAATCCTGCTAGTGTTTCATTTAGAACTTTCCCCAGCCTTCAGGACCGGGCAGCCACTCAGACATCACTCTGGTCTCTTAGGAATAACTTTTCATTCACCTTGAGGGATGGGCAGCCTCTTCTTCAAAGGAAAGAATGGGGCTGCTCTTTAATTGCTTACGCAGCTGAATAGGGTCAGGCAGCAGAACAGACCAAAGGGAAGCTTCGATACGATTTCTATACTCACTGTGATATGTTGTGCTGGAATATCTTTCAAGTGAGCCACAAGGAATGCTTCACTGTACGCTGAATGAAGAACTGCATTTCTACTTAGGAATAAAGGAAAATCTTAATGCAAAAAAATAAAGGTAAGGCTGGTGAAGTGAAAAATAATGCTCTTTTCCCAAGAAAATGCAATCATTCCTAATGAATCATTCATAAACTATGCATTTACCTAGACATCTTCATCACTGAATGCTCTCTTAATCAAGAGATCACCTGGACTACTTCTCTATTGTTAATTACTGGTATTTACACAAAAGATTACTTTTTATAATAACTGTGTGCTGTCTTACAGCATAATTAAGGAAACAATTTTTAATATTTTTTAAAAAAATGTTATTATTTTTTGTGTGTGCACCGTCAAATCAGATCTGACTGGTACAGGGGAAGATTGTTCCTCCTTCTCCAGCAGAGTATCTGGTGGATTTGAACTGGGCACCTCTGGGATGGCAGTGCAGTTTCTTGCCACTAGGCCACCAAGAAAACAATTTTAAGAACATGATTTGAAGGGAGCTCTGGTGGCCTCATGGCAAGAAGCTGCACTGCAATCCCCAAGGTCTGCAGTTCAAATCGACCAGATGCTCTGTTGGAGAAGGTGGGGCAAACTCCTCCTGTGCCAGTCAGATCCAATTTGACGGTAGATCAAATTAAAAAGAAATAAATAAAAATTTTAAAAAAAGTTAATTAAAAGAACAGGATTTGAAGATGACATTGAACATACTCCACTTTCAAGCAGAAACCAGGGGGTGGGGAGAGGAAAAAAAATCAACCTTGATTATAGACATTGTAATTAATTAGTAATAAATGTTACACTGCAAAATGTGTACGAATGATTGCATGAAAAACCAATACGATTTCTTTATAAGTCTACACTACAAAGAATATAAAAAACCAGCCAACCGGCTCTCGGTGGATGCTGCTGTGTCAGCACGCGGGAGCCCGGGTTCGAACTCGAAATAAACTTGGTTAATTCGGCTAAAAAAAACAAAACAAAAAGAAAACACCAAAAAAAACCCCAAACCAGCCAACCAACCCTCAACTGACTGGATTACCACCACCCTTCCTTGGTGTTGTGGGCATAGAACAATGTCTACAGGGAGACAGCTTGGGGGACACCTGGTTTCAAAGGATACAGTAGCGCTGCTCTTTTTGGTGTCACAGGGCTTGACGAGGTCTCCTGTGTCACGCTTTGAGGTTTCTCTTTTAACTCTTTGTCACAGTTACTGCAACTGTCTTCTTCAAGATTAAAGCCGTTTTCAACAACTTCTGTTTGCTCTTCCATTTTCTCCTCCTGAACAGCATCATCTAAGTCAAAAACCGACTCTGTGTTGATATCTGCTTCTTGAAGCTTGTCGTCACCAATGCTGTGTTGTTAAATGAAAGCAAGAGCTTAGTGGAAAATTCCCCCTTAGTTTTTAGAAATCAAAGCATGCAATAAATAATGCACTAAAAATGTAGTGAAGGAAAAAAGAAAAGGGCTTCCAAGGTACCTTAAAAAGACTTTTAAGCAGGCGCAGGTGACGGCCTCGGGAATGTCGGGGAATTGCCGCAGACAGATCTGTAAGATCTGCACATCTGACTTTTCCAAGGCAACTTCCATTAAGGCCGGGCACAAGCTAAGAGACAATTCTACATTAGTTTAACTGACTGAGAAAAATTGTAACTGCACATAATCCACAAGTTTTTTTTCAGAGTATGAAAAGAAAAGGTATACAAAGTCCCCACCTGTAGGAAAGCACTTGTGTTTGGATAAGCTGCATCAGACAGTTTCGGGGGTAGAATGATGTTTCGGCTTTACATCTGTCCAGAAGTCCTCTCACTATGTCGCCAATAATAGCATGAAAGTCAGGCGTCTGCTTAACAGCCAAAAATTTACGCAGTTCTACTTCAATGTGCTTTTCTGTATCATTCTGAAAGGACAGTATTAATAAAGAGGTCAGTTTGCATTAATACATTTCACCATACACAATAGGAGGAGGTCAGTACCATCAAGTCACCGAATTACTTCCTAGCTTAACATTTTCCAAATTATCAACAGTAGTCACATGAAAGTAAAGTTGAACTATTTTCCTTTACAAAAAGAAACTGGAAAGGGAAAAGAGATAGCAGGGGGTTATAAATCAAAATCATTTGGAGATTAACTTATATTCAATGCATGACTGAATGAGATACTGATGAGGTCACTATCATCACACTGATCGCACAGAACTATTGTCACTGGTTTCGATGCCATGGAATTCCTGCTCGTAGGGGCCACAACCCGCAGAATAACTGGATGGCTGTACACCTTTTGCACACTCACTGCTACATTTGAGTCGACTGTCAATCCTCTTTTTTGCTAACTCTCTACTTTTACAAAATTGATGCTCTTCTGTAGGGATTGGCCTGTCTTGATAACTTGTCTAACATAAGTGAGATGATATCCTCATTTCTAAGGAGCACTTTGCCTGCATTTTCTCCAAAATGTATTTATACTGGTTTTCTGGTAGTTCATGGTTATTATTTGCTTCTCTTTGCTAACAAGCCATAATTCAAAAGCATCAATTAAACAATTAGGTTAGGGATTATAACCCAATAGATTTGTTGGCAAAGGTGGTCTTCTATAAAGATGTACAGTCTCAGAAATCAGATGGAAAGTCACTGAGCCCAAATTGATTAAATGACAGTAAGTTTTGTTGTGGTTATTAAAACAAAACAAAACATCAACGATACTTCACTCTTTCTTACTCACTGCCCAGCGCAGGCACACACCAGGCCACTAATACGGCAGCCTAGGTCAGGCATGCCTTAGTCCTCGGAGGGATGCTTGCCTAACATTCCGGTCTTTTGCAGATTTGACCAGTGTAATACATTGTCTGATTTCCTGTTTTTTTTTTCCATGGGCTCGGCTTATGGATCCAAGTAAATGAAATCCCTGTCAATGTCAATGCTTTAGGTTTTATGTTGAGGTATAAGACATCCTGAATCCTAGACTTGGTTCTGCATCAGAAAATGCTTCAAGTCCTCTTTGCTTTCAACAAGCAAGGCTATGTCATCTGTAAACTGTTGGTTGCTAAGGAGTCTTCCTCCAATCCTAATGCCTCAATCCTCTTCATCAGGTCCAGCTTCTCAGATTATTTGCTCAGTACACAGATGGAAAAGTATGGGGACATTTTTCCTAATCTTAAACCACAGTGCCCCTTGTTCCGTTCTTCTTCAGGTCCTGCATGTGCACAGTAACTGCCTGGAAGTCTCACTCTGCAATATTAGCCACAATTGATCATGATCTAGATTCTCTTCTAAAACAGGTCTGGAAGCAGGAGTGGCCTCCACTTCATAAACCACATACCTATGGAAACTCTATAAACTGGGAGAAAAAAAAGATTGTTACAGAAAGGCGTCAGGTCTTCTGCTCATGGAATTGCTATGGGTCACGCTCCACGTGAAAGCAATCAACAACAAATAACAAGGTTCTCCTCTGCATCTGGCTTGACTTTCTGGCAATCCCAGGTTGACGGAACTGTTTCTATCTTTGGCAAGATTTTTTGTGTATGTGATAGTAATGATCTTGTTCAATCATCTCCACATTCTGTTGCATTACCTTTCTTGGTCTGTTCAACTCATAAAACAGCTCCATCTCTGGAAAATCCTTGGTAAAAGGCCAAAGATTTATTTGCTCCAGAGTGTAACCTGAGTAGGAATTACATTTTCTGGCATCAGCACAAACATGGATCTCTTCTTATCTGTGAGATACCATCCACCTGGTCAAGTATCTTTGACTTTCCCCCCAGGTGAGCAAGCACCCTGAGCACTAAATCCCTTTGTGGGAACATCTGAATAGAACACTGACTCCTGTCTATTCCATTCATCAAGGTCAATGCTTGCGGTCATAATTCATTATGTTACAACAACCACTGTCATAATACGATGGCTTGTGTGTTGCAGTGATAATGGAATCTATGTCACAGGCATCTGAAACACCTGCAAGGTCTCTCCCGTTAAACAAGTGCCAATGGAAATTCCAGACTAAGACCAGGAATAAAGAATGGTGATCTATTTCTGAAAAACGTAGCCCGTGGAAATCTTATGAACAGCACCCAAATGTCTTCAGACGCAGTGCTGGAAGGAAGGAGAGCCTCTCAGGCTGGAAGACATTCAAAACGCAACTGAGGAACAGCTGCCTTCCAAGCAGCCTATCCAGTGATGTGGATGAATTAAAGGTTCTCAGGATCTTCCTCTGTTGATGTGGCAAGACTCAAAATGATAAGAACCTGCTGCAAACATCCTTTAATAATCAGAACCTGATATGCAACAAGTATGAATCTAGAAACATTGGACGTTGTAGAAAATGAACGGGGAAAAAAAAATCAATAACCTACGCAGGAGTGAGCTGAAATGATCACTTGGAATCAGACAATCACATGGTCTCTACTAATTTGGGAATGACAAATTGGAAAGGAAAAGCCTGAGCATCATGGTCAAAAACAACATTTCAAGATGTATTCTGAAGTACAATGCTATCACTGATAGGAATACATGCACGTGCATACAACGAAGACCTAGTAGTATGATTATTCAAATTCACCCAACTAATCATTAAAACCAAAGATGAAGAAACTGAAGATTTCTACCAATTTCTGTAGCCTGAAATTGATCAAACATGCAATTAAAAGGCATTAATAATGACTGGTGACTGGAATGTAGTAGATCAGTAGCTTACGATCTTGCTATGGGAATGGCACCAGAAACCTCATGGCAGAATTCTCTCATTGCAAAGATCTTTTTAAACATGAGACTATAGTGAGGCAAACAAGCCAGAGTACTGGACCGAAATGTGCCTTCCTCTCAGATACTGTATAATATTGGCTACAAACCAGAAAACATACTACATAAATATAGGTACTTAAATAAGCATAAAAATTAAGAGAATCAAAAGCCTAGGAGGAATTTCTTTTAATCTATTGGGTTGATTTTTCGTCTATTTAATACTTTTTATATACCTTTATCGTTAATAGAAGTTGTCTGGATGCTGAAACTGCTGGCTGTAAACTCGCTTCATCTTTTCTTCTTAACTGAAATGGAAGAAATGGATTATAATTTCAAAGCAAACAAAAGTGTACACATTAAGAACAAGAAGCACGTCAAAGCACTAGTGTACTCCTGCATTAATCACAAAGGGTTTTTAACAGCATGCATTTTAAAAAAAATGATAGAGTGGGCTTATTTCAACTTTCAAATGAACTATCTTAAAATTTTATGTTTTCAATTTTTAAGCAGAAAATACGATCTCTACAGTGAGAAAGATCTTATTGCTAATTGTATACTGGTTCATTTTCACACCTTAACATACAAAACACACAAAATAAAAAAAAATAACCAAAAGATTGTGTGTGTCATTTGTGGCTAAATTCTTTCAGATTACTGAATTTAAGCTTCAATTTTCACCTGCCATCAAGAGGAACGCTGGAATAGTTTTACAAATTTGACTCATTAAGAGAATTATGCATTTTTAGCACCTGCACTACTATTTCTATTTATACTTACATTTTTCCTTGACTGTTCTGAGTTCTGTGATTCATCTTCGTGGGCTGTCTCCCAGTTTACAAAATGGGGTGCAGCATGAGTGTCTATGAAAACAGAGAACACACAATTTCTGGTTTGCTCTGTCACCCCCCCCCCCCCCCCGACTAACAGTAAAATCCAACCACTCATGGACAACCGAAGAGAGGGTGTAAATTCATGGAATTTGACAGACAGCCCAAATCAGTAAACCCTGACAGTAAAGGGCCTCAGGCCCAGCAACATTAAGCCAACAGGTGAGGCTGTCAGAAGACCAGGGAAGGCAGAGGAGTTCCTGATACTGCCCGGAAATCAGGAGAAAATGCCTATTCAAAACACAATTAACTGCTCCTGGCTCAAGGGAGTTTTCACGAGCAGCAGCAAATTTCAAAATGAAGAACAGTTTCTAGCGATTGACAGGGAACTTTTGCTCCCAGAGAGCTATTAAAACGCTTTGCTTCAATAGAAGAAACACGTAAATAAGTTCCTACCTGGATCACAACTGTGCCTGAGTTTTCCAAGTGCACCGGCCAGTGATGACACTTCACACTTGTATGGGACCACCGTCAAACATTTCCCATGTAACATAAAGAGGTTTTCCCCATAATACCAGAGCTACAAAAAAGTGAAAAAAAAAATAAATAAATACTTCGCCCCGACTTCTCTAAAGATCTGACTCAGTAAAACCTTACAACTGAGAACAGTGTGATTTATATAAAAAAAAGAACGACTAAATAAGACACTTGGCAGAAGATGCTAAGATGTTCAACATATGTATCAGCCATACTAACATCACCTACTGCTGAGTGGATTCTGACTTATCACACTAAGTCATCGGGTTTTGGAGGCTGTAAATCTACAGGCGAAGAATGCTCATCTTTCCCGTTGGCTGGTAGTTTTAAACTGCTGACTTTTCATTTGACAGCCTGATACACTACACTCTATGCCATCATGGCTCTTTGGAATAAGATTATATAGCCATCATTAGTATAAAACTCTTAGTAAAGCATAATTTTAAAGTATTTCTTTAATAGCTTTACTGAGATATAGGAAGGTCTAGATACAGAGATATAGGGAGCTCTGTGCCTAGTGCAGAGGGCGCTGTGTTGAAAAGGGCAGGCAGTTCAAATCCACCAGCTGCTCCAAGAGAGACAGGCCATTTCCTCCTGTGCAATTTAGTGTCTGAAAACATGCTGAAGGGTCAACTGGTTCCAACATGACAGTAATGAGTTGGAATTTACCTAGATATACAGGCAGTTCCTAGGTTACAAATGTTGACTTTAGTATATTATATAGTTAAGCACACCATGGCTTTGCAGTTCCTTGGTGCGGCCCCCACCGCCTCCTTGTGGCACAAGATATAAGTCGGCCTCTGGATCCTATTAATGGTAGCAGTGTGATTTTGGCTGGAACCAGCATGGACCGCCTCCCCCGCCCAGCTCCCCATGCCCCACAACACACTGGTTGCATCAAGGCCCTAGTTGGTGCTTGTTCTGAACAGAGAAGGCATCGTGACTCCTGGACGCCCTCGCTCTGCAGCTTCATGGGTTGTGAGTACTTTACTGGGCCTGTTATCACCCTGGCCAGGTACCACTTCTTTGCAAATGTGACAGAACTCATAAACATAACCATGTACAAGCTGCGGAGCCGGGCGAGGCTTGGAAAAGGGAACAGGTTTGTCTCAGTGGATGAGGAGGAGGCTGAGAGGTCAGGACAAAGCACGGGCTGTAATGTTAGATGTGCTTCTCTCCACATCAGCAACAGGACACGTTACTACCATGACTGGATGATACTCCATCTCAGTCAGACAACCTTCCCAGGAAGAGCCATTTCTGAGGTTAAAAAGCTCTTCTCTTTTCCCTTCCCCTGAAGGCTGCATGGCGCTATGCTCAGGGGCCAGGTCACTGAAGCCAGGGGCTGTGGCCACAGGGCCTAATGTTAGAAGAGCAGGACACCCGCTCTCTCTTCCTTTCACCTAAAGGTTAGTCGTCTCAGGCAGTATCTCACCATCTGTTTTGTCTTTTAATTCCATAGGCAATGTCCCTACATACCCAGGAGCTTAATGCAGATCTGCAGGGGCACTTGATGCCCACGCAGTGGACAGTTCACGCCCACAGACCAACTAGAGGATGCACTTTCGCTATTTCTTCCCAAAGGATTAGCCAGAGTGAACAGACTCAGTCCCTTTCTTGTTTGTGATAAACTTCCTCCTCCCCTATTGTCTGGCAACAGTTTCAGCTAAAGGGTTTGGAGCGAATGGTAATTTATCTCGCGCTGGGTAGATCCTACAACCCAGTAAGACCTGACAACTTGAAGATGAACCTCTCTTCTCAATTTCTCTTACAGCTGGTTTTCAGAAATCCCCGGCTTTTAGCTAAAAGGACACTGCGTTCTCCCAGCCTGGATTCTTTGCAAAGCTGCCAGCAACATTTGTGCTCTAGCTTCTAATTCACTCATTTCACCAAATTATCTGTAGCTCTTATGACCAGGGTATGAAGGAAGGGGGGAAACAGGAGAAATGCCACAATGCATAGTGCACACTTTTAACTGCCTCTCAGCAATTACAGACTATTACAGCTTGGGGAACATGAAGTTAAGTGAGATAAGCATCTGAATAAAGACATCTACAGCCTCACCATGAAGAAATCATCACGGTGATTTGGAAGGTGTGAGTGCTTGGGAATGGAGATCCAGAGTGTTGTCCTATGCAGGAAAGCTGGGTAGCCAGTGGCCTTTAGTTCCTTAAATCTTAACACCTCAGGGGAGCTCTGGTGGCCTAGTGGCAAGGATCTGCAACTACAATCCCAGAGGTGCATGGTTCGAATCCACCAGATGCTCTACCGGGGAAGGAGGGACAATCTCCTCCTGTACCAGTCAGATCTGATTTGACGGTACACTCACACAAAAATAATAAAATAAAATTAAAAAAAAAAATCTTAACACCTCAATCCTAAGATTTCCCCCCTCTCTTTCTACTTGCCCCTTGTTGCCCCAAAGCTCTAGAATTATCCATGATTATCCTCTTCTGAGTTGGAACTGACTCACAGCTGACCTTCACTGGGTTGTCCGAGGCTGTAAATCACGAGGGAGAGGAATGTTTGTCTTTCTCCCGTGGAGCCACCGATGGATTTGAACCAGAAAGGCTCAACTGTTCCTACAGCAGCACAACTTCCAATGGACCAGACCCCCAGTCTCCCCATTCCAGTTTTGCATTTAGGCTATCCACAGCTGCAGTCAACAACCCCAGCCCCTGGTGATTAGAGATGAACAGGACCATGGGATTTTCAGCACCTTTCTTGTGCAGACAGCTACCATGCTCATGCCAGAACTGGGGGTGGGTATGTGTGGGAGGTCACCCAACATTCAGAATGGAACAGTGCAAAGTTTATCAACAGACCAGAAATATTTTTTCTGCTCTGTACCTTCCCAGCTCCATTCATGCAATTTTAATCTATATCAGACTGCCTGGCTCTGTTAATCTCACAAAGAAATAGCCATTAAGTTGCATCTGGCCAGAGGGAATGGGGAGGAGAGGGGGTGGTAAACAGAACAGAACTCAACAGGCTGTTCCATATCAAAAAAGGTGCAGCAGCTGATGGCTGAGAGCCATCACAGAGATCGCTGGCTTTTTGGGCTCCGTTGCTCACAGAATTCAAAGCCCCAAATTCATGACATATACTTACAGTGGCACCCCTCACTATCTGGAAAGCAGCTAAAGACAGCGCAATAAAAGAATGTCAGGGGTACGCTCCCAGTCAGTCACCGGCACACACCCAACACTGCTTATACAGTGGTCTGTACGACAAATACGAGCTACTGTGCTAAGCACATCAAAGCATCCTTTGTACTCCAGGCTTATGGTATTAAAGGTGTTTCTGTGTATCTGAAGTATTTGTTAAATGTTTTCTATGAATAGGAAGGTACGCTACATGATAAGGCAAACATCTAACTACTGTAAATGTTCTGCTGCTGTACAAAGACTAACGAACGGAATATGTAATTCATATACAATTCGTTCACTTAGATGTATAAACGTAATGATTTTTTAATATATTCAGATTATGTCATCATGAATACGACAATTTTAGAATATTTCATCATCCAAAAAGAAATTCTTTTTACATTAGCACACTCTATCCCCTACTTTAGCGAGCTCTGGTGGCCTAGTGGCAAGAAGCTGGGCTGCAATCCCAGAGGCACAGAGTTCAAGGCCACCAGCTGCTCTGCGGGAGAAGGATGGGCAATCTCCTCCTGTGTGACTAATTGTCTCTGAAAACTCACTGGAGGGTCAGCTATGGGTTGGTTCTGACTCTATGGTACACAACAAAAACAACTATCACCACATCCCAGACCCTCTAATCACACATACATTTAAAATAATGGAACTTTAAAAAAGTTATATTGCCTGTATTCCACATCTACTAACTCAATAATTACTAAGTGACTGTAACGTGAATAAACTCTTATGAGGAAGTAGATGAAAAAACAATTTAAAACAGTTTCTTTTCTATGATTATACTTAAGAAATAAAGATACAAGTATATAAACAAAAAGCTTGGGAGTGTCATGGACTAAGACGATAAGTCACAATTTATATTTTATTTTCACATGGATATTCACTTGTTAACCAATCAGTACTTACTGGGCATCTCTGAAAGAAAGAATTGAAAAAAACAACAGAGAACTAAACAGATGAATTGACTCAGGAGGTTAAAGTATGGCCAACAAAAATTCAAATTCCCTAAGTGTTCCATATAATCCCATGGGAATGTTTTAACATGCAGTCTAAAAAGCGAACTCAAGGTAAACTAATAGCCTTTCAGTGTAGTTCAAAAAAGATCAGACCAAAATGTTCCTATAAAAATTTTAAGAGATTGTTGTCTCTTAATCTAAAATGTCCCATAATTTAATCTTCTAAAGAGATAAGACATTACTGTTAAAATAATAGCCAAGTTAAAATAATCTTCTAGAGTAAAAAAATATTTAACACGAGAAATAGCTGTCCAAAGGATTTAGCCTCGAAGAGGTCTTATCTCTTATGTTGTTGTTGTTGTTATGTGCTGTCGAGTCGCCTGCGACTCATAGCGACCCTATGTAAAACAGCCCTAAACTCCGCTCTGTCCTGTGCCAATCGCACTGTCTCTGACACTCCCATCCCAATTATCCCAGTCACTGACTCAATCCACCTCACAGAGGGCCTTCCTCTCCTGCGCTGTCCCTCCACCCTCCCAAGCATGATGGCCTTCTCTAAGGACCTGTCTCTCCTCACAACATGTCCAAAGTATGTTAGACGGAGCCTCAGAATCCTTGCCTCCAAGGAGCCACCCGGTTTAACCCTTTCCAGGACAAATGGTATTTTCAATACTCTTCTCCAGCACCACAGCTCAAAGGCATCAATTCTCCTTCTATCCTCCTTGGTCACTGTCCAACTCTCTGATGCATAACAAGTGATTGCAAAGACCATGGCCTGTATCAGACGCACCTTAGTCTCCAGAGAGACACCATTGCTCTTCAGTACTTTGGAGATGTCCCAGCAGACTTTCCCATCGCAATGTGCCTTTTAATTTCCTGGCTGCTGGTGCCAAGACTGTTGTCTACAGAGCCAAGCAAACTAAAGCTGTGTACAATCTCAATCTCTTCACCATCCATCCTGATGCTGTATAAGTTGTAAAAAACTTATCTCTTATAGTCACCAATAAAAGCATATATATGTGAACCAGTTTCCCAACTCTAAGAACTTACCTGACCACTGGTACCTTGTGGTAACTCTTTGGAAGCTTGCAGTGTTTGAAATTTGATGTTCCATATGGAGAGGTGGTCTGTAAAAGAAGAAACACAATTCAGAAGTGTCAAGTATGGATATATGTTGTTTTAGAAAAACCACAATCAGTCTTGCTTTATTACTTTAAGTCCTGAATTAGTAATAAAAATTAGTAAAAGATAGCCACAGAAGTTAAAAAAATGATAATTACAGGCTGAATGAAACAATCAGCAAAGCTCTGGAGAAGGTGAGTCCTGAGTGGAAATCTTATATAATGAATGGCTAATGTCCAAGGAAGGGAGTTCTGGAGGTGTGGTCCATAGGGAGTTATGCTGCTAACTCAAAGGTGCTCTTCGTTGGCAGTTCAAATCCTCCAGGGGCTCTGAGGGAAAAAGACGGGCAACTTCTTCCAGTGTGTTTTACAGGCTCAGAAACCCTTTGGAGGGTCAGCAATGAGTAGCAAGAGTGAGAGGATGTGGAGTCATAGGAGCTCTGGTGATGTAGTGTATGCCTGTTGTGAGGCTACAGTGTATGCCTGTTGTGATGCTATAGTGTATACCTGTTGTGAGGCTATAGTGTATGCCTGTTGTGATGCTACAGTGTATACCTGTTGTGAGGCTATAGTGTATACCTGTTGTGA